TTGCAGTACCATTTATTTCAATGGCACCCCAAACACGCTTCCCACCCAGAGTTTGATCGCTCACACTGGAATGCACAGTGCTGCAATGCCATGCATTCCAGTGCAGTGTGATTGCAGAAAATTGTGCATGCAGTTTTACTCTGAAGTAAACTTTGTAACACATTTGTGTATTTTGTTTTAAATTAGGGATGGTATTTGATTATTTTTATCAGATTCATCGAAAAAATAATCGGCCAACTAATCGATTATGAAAATAATCATTAGTTGCAGCCCTAATCTTGTGATCTTGTACTGGACAGGAAGTTTAGGGAAGCTGAGCTGAGAGACTTAGAACAAGCTGTTCAGAATCATGATGTCTTTAAGTGCTTGGTCAAAAATATGAAGAAACACTTTGCTGGGCAATATATATTTGTTTTATTTGGATTCATTATTGAAAAAAAGTTTGAGAGTTTAATACTACTTTAGTCACTTCAGTAATATCTTGTGTATACTTTTTTACGACCAGGCCATTTTTCAGTTTCCAGTGCCATAATAGTTTGACGGACAAGTACACGTTCATGCACCACTGTACCCAAATCATTTTTAAATTATTCTTTTAAACAGATAGAGCCTTATTATAGTGGTATTTATTAGCTACTGAATTATTGTTACTATAGAAAGCAAAAACATTTTGAAAATGAATTTTGGAAACAATCTTCCCATTCTTTCATTTATAAAACATATCAATTTTAGTAGGCAGTATGAACATCCTCAAAATTACCTTTTTTTTAAAAAAAAGTAGACGCTCCAAGGTGGTCTCATTTCATTTTTTGCAACAATTTTTTGGAAATTAAAAACATGCTGGTATTGGGATGGCTAAAACATGGAGCTTGGTAATGGTGCACTAGATACAGTACATTAGAAAAGATGAAGGGGTTAATGGCCACATACAGTGAGAGGATGACAATGAGGGGTTAAAATGCAGGGTAATGGAGGTGAAGGAGTTAATAAATAGACACAGGATAGAGCTGAGAAGTATGAGAGGAAGGGGGATGAAGGGGTTAAAAAAAAGACCCTATTGACCTTTTAAATCCCTCACCATCAATCTGCTTCTGGTCCCTTCATTTAAATATCCTAACCTCCTCCCCTTCCTCCATTGTGAAAGGAAGGGGAGGACTCGCCAATATAAACATTAGTACTGCTGCTCAGTTTGGCTTTGTACACTATGTCTGTGATCTCCATCATAGCTCAGCCGTTATCACAGCTCAGATCACAGTCATTAACAGGTGCACCAGCTACTCAACGGTTTATTCTGGAGTGCCATTTATAAACATCTCTCCAGAAATACGTGTCCACCTTCCTGCCATTTTTTTAATGGCTGTAGGAAGTCGATTACTTTATAACTGTAATTCATTCAGGCTGCATATTCAGTAACATTTTTAACTTTTGTTTAATTGTTTTAACTTAAGTGCTGCAGCAAGGAGAGAGTGACTGCATGTCAAAAATGAGCCATAGTTCCAGATATAGGCTACCAAAATCATATGCAAATCTACGATGAAAGCAGAGATTTGTCCCTTCCACCTCCTAAGCTTCTCTATTGGTTCTTTTTTATTGTTGACAGTCTTATTGACCAGAATTGGGGCTGGGAAGACTTAATTGGAGTTTTGCAGAGAAAGTCAAGATTTGCATATGGGTTTTGGCTGCCTATTTCTGTGGATCAGTGATATTTCGTTTTCGCTGAAGGAAAACTCTGCTTATGCTTTTTTTTTTTTGCATCATATGCTTATTTTAGATTGCCTAAGGTATTTGACAGGTGTGCTTGTATACAATTTTTAATAAAACCCTGTCATGATGCAATTACTTTTCTGCACGCCTCCTCTGTCCATGCGGCAGCCCCTTTAAAAAACTTGATACTTTGATATTACCACTGCTGTACTTTCTAGAATGTACTGTTGACAATGATATGTCTTGCATTCTGTTTGGAAAAATCAATAAAACATATTGAACAAAAATTCAAATAAAAAACTTGATGCTTCTGCATCAACATTAAAAAGTTGATAAATATTATTTGATTAAATATTTACATAGGATCTTTGCAGTGGCTGCAATGCAGGTTTGGGTGGTAGGTAGGAGTACTAATGGTTAGTCTTGGTGCCACAAGATGTCTGCAAAAAGCAGAGAGGTTATTTTGTGTTTAATTTTACAGGTGTGCGTTTACTGTGCAAACACAATCCACAATTTCCCAGACCTACCACCTAGCCAGCAAAAAAAAGATAACAAGATTTACATAGCTTAACAATTGGCGTTAAAACAGAGGTTTTAGTTGCACACATTTGCAAATATATGGGGAAGTTACGTTATGAAGTATGGTCCCTAAGGCTGGGTTCACAGCTAGGCGTACGGAATATGCGCGTTTGTCGCAACGTTATATGCGCGTGCTGCACGTTTTACCGCGATTTGCGGTGAAAGAAACGCGCGACAAACACGCGTTTCCTAGGGCTATCCCGCTGTATCCTAATGGATACGCGCAACAAATACACCCCAAAGAAGCTCCTGTACTTCTTTGGGCGTAGGGCGTTTTACAGCGCGTCCCTACGCACTGTATAACGCCCAGGTGGGAACCATGCCCATAGGGGGCATGTTGAACTTTTTACAGCACGTAGGAACGCGCTGTAAAACGCCCAGGTGTGAACCGGGCCTTAGTCTAGTCTTTGAGAGCCTCCATGTTGGAGAATAAAAAATAATACATTAGGTATGCATTGAGGTAGTTTCATTTAATATAGGGGAAACTGTTTTTTTTTTTAAATTTCGGTAATTTTTCCTTAATATAGTAAAAAAATAAAACCCCCAGTGGTGAATAAATACCACCAAAAGAAAGCTCTATCTGTCCCCAAAAAAGGGTATAAAATTCATTTCAGTACAGCGCTGCATGACGGAATAAATGTCAGTCAAAGTACCGCAGCGCTGAATACTGAAAAATGGCCTGGATGGGAAGGGGGTTTAACACCGCGGATGTCAACTGGTTAAAGGCATAGGGACACACTGGAAGCCTAGCACATTATGATGGCAGCTTAAAACCCTCAGTGTGCCGTCCTTTACCCCTTAATGAAAACTACCTGGATTAAATTGTATTTTGTCCTCATTTGTATTGGGGTTTTAAATCAATGATAACTACATTAAGGTTTGAAAGAAGTGACCCTGTATCCTGACTAAAACTACTCAGTCTAGCTCTCCCTTACGTAGAAGGCACCAAAAGCTGCCAGATGTCACCATTTACTGTAGAAACCCATTTACAAATGCTGATTTTACCAAAGTCTGTTTTTGTATAGGTTTAGGCATAGCCCCCTTTTACTTCTCCTGTGAAATGGGTTGGGTTGGCAATGAGTGGCTAAAGCACCAAGCATTGTCACTTGGGGAAATGGGGCTATGCCTGCTTAGCCCTTATACTGACAGTGTTTATAAGTAGATTCTGGCAGTGCTTGAAGGAAGAAATCTGAGCCAATAAAGTGCAATATGCTCAAGGGAGGCTTAAATGAACTGCTGTGAGAGCACAGGTTTCCTTTAAAATAACTTAATTTCTTAAATTTACTTGAATTACTTAATTACATTTATATGGAAGGGAAATAACTACAGATGGACTTTACAGTCAACCAGCTGTGGAATCCCTGATGTTTATATCCAGAGCCATGAAGTTCTTCTGGCACTGGCTTGTGTGATGATTTTAATGAAACCTCTGTGACCATTACTAACGTCTTCTGAAAATGCCAGAGTTTTTTCATTACTGGCTGCATACATGTTTTGGGTCAGTCACGCAGGAAGCCAAAGAGGGAAGAACTTGCATTTTCAAAAGGAGGTCAGGAAAAGCAGTCTTCATAGTTCTTTCAGTACAGGTTTTCTTTAAACCTCACAAGAAGTATAAATTAAAAGTTAAAACTAGGGATGCACCGATACCACATTTTTAAGACCGAGTACGAGTACCGATACTTTTGATCAAGTACTCACAGATACCAATTACCGATACTTTTTTTCTTATAGGGACAGGTCACATTTTTTCTAAAGCAATACAAACTAATGCTTTAATGTCACTGTCTTAATATTATGATTCATGAGATGATGAGGGAGCAAGACGCCGGCTTCCCGGCCAATCAGAATGCCGGGCGCTGCATCATTACACGGCGCCGGCTTCCGAATTTGCTAGCTTCCTGACCAATCGGGAAGCCGGGCAGCGACGCTACCCGGCTTCCTGATTGGCCGGGAAGTTGGCTCCATGCTCTCTCATCACAAGTGACGAGAGAGCATGGAGCCAGAAGGCACCCCAGGTGTGCGCTTGCACACTGGTAGAGAAAGGCTGATCTAAGCTTAGACAAAACTACTTTGCTAAAGTTTTTAATGACTTGTTTTACTGATAAAAGGTACAGGTTTTTTTTGTTTTTTTTTACTTCAATACTTTTTTTATTTTAATAGTACAATTGCATAACAAACACTTTTACAACCATAAATACATAATTAAAACAACAGTACAAAAACAAAAATCAATACATTACACAATAACAACAACAAAAAAATTCTCGTCATACCATATTACCTAAAAATACATTAGTCCACTAAAAACCAGTAGCAGATAAGAGGCATTATAGACAAACACCATTTCTATATTCAAACCACTTATCCCACATTTTACTATATTTATCCATGTTGCCTCTATGTTTAAACATAATTCTCTCAAATCCAACCACTTTATCTAGTTCTTTCTTTCATCCCTCCACTGAGGGAGGCGTTGCTGAAATCCACCTAAAGGCTATACTACACCGAGCCACAAACAATGCTCTCGTTATTGCCGAGCTACAGGTTTAAAAAGAAATTACATGGTTTCTATTGTGACCGAAATGTATTCATGAATTTATTCATAAAATTACTGAGATCTACTTTAGAGAATAAAGTCAAGGCCCTTCTCAAGCATATTTTCAATGCAACATAGTCTTTATTCTTTTATAGTAAGGGTCCGTTTTTATCATTTGCAGGTAGAGTCACACCTGAGCAGATTCGATCCTATATCATGTTGTTTAAAGAAAACCGAGAAGCTCTGGAAAACCACTGTGGCCTACTCCAGCTAGCCTGCGCCACAGTCCAGACACTGAAAAATCCACAGTATGCCAAGTGGGACAACTTCCTTGCATATGAAAGAGCTATCTTACAGGTAAGCCCTTTGTGTTTCCAGCACATTGTAAATAACTATTGATTTATTGTATATTTAAAGGGGGTTTTCATATGTTGCAAGGTGCATGTTCTCTTCAGAAAGGCTTCTAAGAGGCTCAGAACTTCTTTATTTCTTTGCTGTGAAGTATCTCCAGTCTTGGGAACCTGTTGGCTTCAGTTTGTTCGCAAGGCTGCTTCATGCTGAAAACAGATATGTAGAGCTTCTTTTTTGCACTTGTCGAATAGCTAGTCAGCAGGAGTTAAAGAACGGAAACACCTGCCATATGACATCTATCCCACATTGGAGGGATTTTTCAATTTTCTTGCTGAAAGTAGAGGAGACTTTTAACATATAAATCACAACCAGTTGTTGTGATGAGTGTTATATATTGAAGGGTATCTAAAGGGTATAAAAAAAACTAAAAATTAATATGTATTTCTGCATTGAATTTCCAAACGTTCTATCTCACTCCTAATAACTAGGAATGCACCGATACCGTTTTTCTCGGTATCGAGTACGAGTACCGATATTTTTTCCCGGTACTTGCCGATGCAGAGTACTGGTGCCGTGTGCCCCGATTATCAGTTAGGCAGCGGTTCATGACTCGTCGCCCGTCTTCATGATTCCCTGTAAAGTCGGTGTTCTAGCGAAAGAACACAGGCTTTACTTGCCGAGGCTGCCTGGCTTCCTGACCAATTAGAAAGCCGGACGGCAAGACATTAGGTGACGTCCGACTTCCTGATTGGTCAGGAAGCCAAGCTGCCTAGCAACAAGCCTGCTTTCTAGCCAATAAGGAAGCTGGGCGGCACGTCATGACCCTCTTCACGGCTACCTGATTGGCTAGGAAGCCGGCTTCACTGACCTAGGCAGCCTGGCTTCCTGACCAATCAGGAAGCCGGGAGGCGGGTCATAACTCACCGCCCGGCTTCCTGATTGGAAAGGAAGCCAGCTCCATGTTCCATCGGCACTTACCTCCCTTGGAGTTAAGTATAAGAGCATTTGGGCGAGTATGAGTACTAGTATCGGTATCGGTGCATCCCTACTTATAACCATATTGATGTAGAAGTTTGTAAAGTTATTTTTTTGAAGATGCCCATAGGATGTACTTCCTCAATGCACTGACACTTATTCACTCAGCCCTGTGACTATACACTTGTGTCACCACGCTAAGCCTGCTGTCTGAACTATAACTCAACGTCTGCACTTCCTACAATGTAACATTATTATTTTCTTGAGGCAATGCATTATGAGCTATGTAGTCTTGAGTAATCGAGATTGCAGCACATCACACAACAGGGAAAGAGGTGCAAAGCACACTGGGAATCCAGGAAGTTGATGAAGGTGATGGGAAGACGGAAGGAAGCACTCACTACATAAAAAAGGGATTTTTCAATAAGCTTTGATTGCATTATCAAAATTAACTCTAGTATGTATTCTCATTGCAATGCTGATGTTATAACAGGATAGTATTTTTTGGGACTTTCATTCTTTAGAGACCGCGTACCAGCATCATTTAGAATTATTCTAGGTAAGTGACTGGACAAAAAAGAGGAACAAGAAAGAAAGGGGGGCTTTAAAGGCGCCATATGACAAGTCCAAAAGGCAAACATACACTTAATATAAAAAAGTTTGGTTGCATTTATTGAATAGAAATATTAAAAGTCATAATAAAATCTCAATACATAATTATAAGAGAACACCTCCAAAAACTACTCATATCCATGATTCGGCATATATTAACTCAAAATTTGTTACACAGTGATTGATCATAGAAATGTATTGGAAAAATAAATGTGAATAACACTAGGTATATAGCGAATGAAGCTCATAAAAGCTAATTCATGTATAGGTTGATGGCTTCGGCTGAGAATAGTATAGTAGAATATATATTATTTATACATCATGATTAAAGAAAGTCTCAGAAAAACGCTCATAACCCAGGTTAGACAATACATTAACCAGAAGTAAATGCACAAAAATTGATCCTTGAATTAGATCAGACAAATTGACATCAGATATATTAATTCATATATAGGTCCATGATAAATAATACTATTGACAAAAGTCCATGTATGAGTTGGTTGCCTTATCTGGGAGCAGTAGAGTGGAATGTGTAATGTCTACGCGTTTCGCGCCTAAGGCGCTTCATCAGGACCTGGAGGTGATCTCTCCAGAGCGGGGCCATCTGGTATCCGTCCGATACAGACGCCTACGTGGGGATATGGGGGACACGCAAGTAGATAAGAGCATAGGCCAATACCACACCAGGCCAAACGAGTGGGGTAAGGGCGCAAGCCCCAGGTCACTACCCAGCCATCTGAGGCGAATTCGCCTCTGTATCTGACAGATACCTGACGGCCCCGCTCTGGAGAGATCGCCTCCAGGTCCTGATGAAGCGCCTTAGGCGTGAAACGCGTAGGCGTTGCACATTCCACTCTACTGCTTTCACTCTGTTCACAAAGAACATTTTTTCTATAGAGTGGCAGCGAATCTTGGCTGCATTACATTGTTCTGTCAGTCTAATTTTTGTTTACAAGCATTGTCCAGTCACAGGCGGAGGTAGGTCCTTAAGTTAAAGCAGGCTACCCCGGCACTGCAAGGGGTACCTGCTCATTTTTGTCTAGGTTAAAAAAAAAAGTTGTACTCGCACGATCCTCAGAGTCGGCTTGCTCTTAGACCGCTTCCTGGAGACCCTCTCCCCCTCCACTGCACAGGTCTATGGTCCTGTATATCATCACGTTCTATACACACACATATGTATAAATGTGAGGATGTTGAGGAACATTCCATCTCTGCACTGGAGGAGGAGACGGGCTTCAGTCACCGGAGAAGCAGGCAGCCAGCTCGGCGGTTCAGATGAGTATGACTTTTTTTAGCACCTGGACACAAAGAAGCAGTTAACCCTTGCAGTGCGGGGTTAGCCCCACTGCAAGGGTTAACAACACTTTTGCCTGTGGAAAGGATACAGTGAAGAATACAAGCATAACATAACAAAAAAATTATTAGACCTAGGGTTACAAAATACACGTAAATAGAATATAGTATAAACTGGGGCTTTTAAACAGTAATATAACAATGTAAATGGCATATCAAACTTTTTAAAATATAGAATTAGGAGAGAGGTTGAAAAGGGAAGGTACCCTAGATCGGGGGAACAAGGATACTTAATTAGTGGATTATAGGGGGTTCTCCTTTAAGAGATCTTACTGCACAGGTCCGCATTTGATTAATGAAACCAATGTGCAACTACATCAGCAGCATCTACCCAGAAAGGAAAGATCCATTCGGAGTGACTTTATTATGGCGAGTTTATTGTTCTGTGTGACTTCTCAGAACATTTGTACCACAAAGTATTGCTTCACAGTGTTTTAACCTCTAGACCTTCTAGACACTGATACTTGTTAAAAAATATTATGTTGTGATGTTGTTTTGTAACCAGTGCAAACCACAAATTAGACTGTTAGCAAACAAAGATTTAACATTTTACACCATGACCGGATTGCGTTACCACAGTCTATGGTCTGGATGGTTGCGTAATATATGTTTGTTATTTTTAGTTTCAGAGGCAGTAACTGGCTGGCAGTTTTTGTCCTAGAGGGTCTCTTTTGTTTATACTATATTAATTGTTGTATTGATAGAATTAATTCAGCTTGGTATATTCATACAGATGTTTGTTGTATGGAACATGCTTTATTATTAAAGCAGCATGGTGTTAAGTGGTAAGCATGTTTGCCTCACAGACTTGGGATCTTGGGTTTATTCGCAACAAAGGTCACTGTTTTCATGGCGTTTGTATGTTCTCCCTGGGTTTGTGTGGCTTTCTTCACTGATATCCTATATTGGAAGGTCAGTTGTCTTTTACCCATATTGCCGGTGTGTGTTAGTCCCCTCTTCTGTCCATATGACAGGGGTAGACACAGTAACTGTAATCTGGTGCGAGAGATATAGTATATGTGTACTGTGTTAAGTGTTGTTGACTTTACCACCATTTTATCAGTGAAAATTTAAGCTGGCCATACACCTGAGCAAATTTTGGGCAGTGCTTGATGAACTGGCCCGAACTCGCTCAGCGGGTGGCCCTGTCAGCAGACTTCCGTCTGACAACCTTCAATCAGAAATTCGAAGGAGCCAGAAGGAAAATTGTCAGCCAAACAGTGACTGTTTGTATATTTTAACAGTGGCACACCCACTGCTGTTAGAATACAATAGCCCAGTAGGAGATTGATCCATCCATGCTGTTTAGCGTGGATGTAGTAATCTGTTTTTTGTTCAGTCTACATCTTTAGCATCTGTTATGACACAGAATGTGTAGTAGCAGTTCAGTATGCTGTCTGTAACTGGTACATAATAGACATGTGCGATTCGTTTCGTTCCGAATCGAAATTCGGACGAATTTTCGGAAATTCGGACATTCGGATAATTCCGAATTACAGACATAACGAATGCAAACGAATCCGAATTTCCATTTCCGAAATTCGGTAGCGGTAGTCCGAACGTTCGTTTTGTTTTCGTTTCTTATTTGTTTCGTTCGTTGGAGCAAAGTGACATTAGAGAAGGAGAAAAAAATGTTTTCCCCCTCAAATGTCACGAACGAACGAAACGAATAAGAAACGAATAAGAACAGAAAACGAAACGAACGTTCGACCTACCGCTACCGAATTTCGTCCGAATCCGAATTCCGAATCCGAATTGACTTTCACACCCGAATCCTGAAAAACGAAATAACACAAATCTGAATTTAAAACGAAACGAAACTAAACAAATTTTTTGGCAGTGCACATGTCTAGTACATAGGTCCAAAGCTAAATGTTACAATCTATCTAAACTTCTTTGCATTTGAGTACAATTATGTAGTACAAGGGTTTAACAAAATCGCTTATTAACAAATAATAATGAATTGACTATATTAATTAGGTAGGCTCTTACTTAAGCCATGTATCAGGTTGTTAAGAGGCTTCTAGTGAATATGTTTGCATAGTAACAAGTTCATCTTATAGCTG